GTCCAACTCTGTCAATTTGTCCGTCAAAATGAGGGGTAAAAACGTCATTTCAAGTATGAAGGAAAAAACTGAAGAAAAAAAAAGAAAAAAAGAGAAAAAAAAAAGAAGAAAAAAAGGTCCCTCTCTCTTTCGCTCTATCTCTCCCTCTTTCTCACAACCCATTCCCCCCTCCTTATCCCACCCCTCTCAAGTGTGGGCTTCTGAGCTTGATCAAGATTTCGTCGTCTTCTACGGAGCGGAAGGATGAATTGCTGTTGCCCGGGTTTAGGGTTTCAATTTCGGAGGAGGAAGACGAAGGGGAAGAGTAGCAACTCGGCTGCGTCGAGAAGGGCAGAGGCGGAGTCACCTCGGTAGCAGCGTGATTGAAATTCACTTTAAGGGTTTCGTTGACGCCTTGGATCAACAACTCGTTCTCCAAAATTACGAGCTTCTGGAGCTGGGTTTAGTTCTGGGACGCCATGAATGCACGGACAAGCTGATCGCAGAGCTGAAATCGAGGGGCTTGGGAGGGTCTATGGAGGACTTGTGGCACCAGTTGAGAATGGCGGATTTGAGAGCGAGGTTGGAGATTACAGAGGAGAAATCGGGTGGGGGAGAGTCCACGAGAGTGGGTGTGAAGTTGAGGGCTTTGCAGACTTGGACGCAGGCACGCTCTAAGGTGTGGCCTAAGGAGACGATAACTGGGTCTTTTGGAGCTTGGGCCTTTGCAATTTTTGATGGAATGGCCGATGAGGACTTGTGGAAAAGCTTCCATTTGCGCCTGGGGCTGGGACTGCTTATCTTTGTCACTCTGTCGGGGGTTTGGACAAGGATTTCCATAGATTCTCCCTTCTAGATGGACAAGGATTTCCATATACTGCAGTGAATAGCCAGGCGAACCCCTCTCTATTTTCAATAAATATAGTCACAGATTGGTCTAGACACTTTATCACCTTGATATTGCATTTATGCTCATCCCATAAAACCCAAATTCCACCAGAAAATCCTACAGCATCAGAAACTTCAGCATTGGAGAATCCCAGTTGAGAGATTACCTTTCGAGCTCTATCAGAACTAATTCGTGGTTCACAAATAACCATAATATCCAGCTTATTGCCTTTTTTAAAATCTTGCATATCCAGCAGTGATTTCCTGCTACCTGCCCCTCGAACATTCCAACATCCAATAAACATCACTCTTAACGTCAGAGGAAGGAGTCTTTGAAACCAAAAGCATGGAAGAGAGGTATTCTCAATTTTAGCAGAGATCGGAGGGGTGGGAATGAGATCTGGGCATGTGGTTAGGGGGAGAAAGAGAGGTGGTTGTGGGAGGGTGGGCTGCTGAGGGTGGAGGCGATAGAAGGGAAAGAAGGTGATATTGGGTGGTTAGATCTAATTTCAGGATTCCTAAAATTGGGATCTTTCAAATATGCAAAGGTTGAAAAGGCTAAAATAAGTTACGAAAACAAAGAGACAAACCTGCTAAGACAGAGCTTAGGGAGATCACCAGATCCGGTGAGGGAACTCTCACGGAGGAGAAGGAATTCAGCTTTGCATATGAACGAAAGACACAGAGCATGTGAAAACTCCAATATATCCCTCACAACAAGAGCACGTGCCATTCACATGGTCAAACTCGACGGATTCTGTTACGGCAGGACCTAATTGCAACGGATTTCTAATTAAAGGATGTCTTTGCCACAGAAATTAGTTTGCGGACCCAATTGCAAATGGGGCCATAGTTCACGGACGTCTACAGTAATTAACCCTTTTAATCTATCTACCTATCCCAAAATAGAATATTAGAGATAGCATAAGTGGATTAAGCCAATTGATTAGAGCCCTGAGTAAACTTCTTGCACTCAAGTTTGAATTCCAATCATTTGTAAATTGGATTAGTTTAATATATTATAAATTATCGCTCGAATAAAAAAGACTTATTGAAACTTTTAAAATATTAACAAATATGAAAAAGAAAGCTAATATAATAAAAATATATTAATAAATTAAATACTTAAACAAACTATTTATCTAACTATACGAGAAAGTCAATTCATGAACAAAACAAGTATCAAATGTATTCAAATTTTTATTAAGGTACCAGGTGCTTCATGAAAACACTTTTGGTTGTTAGAAAGTCTATGAGACCTATATAGGTTTGAATAGCCAAACAACATTATTATAGATGTTATTGGTGCACACATTATTTGTCGTACATAATTGCATATTTTGGAGTGATTTTGGTAACTGCTTCACTTTTCAAACAACACTTTACATGAAGAGTATATTAATTAAATATATTATATTTTATGAAAAAAATTAAGAAAAAAAAACCCCGATAGCCGTCCAACTGTTCTATTTATTAAAAAAAGGGACCAGCCTAATAGTGTATAGATGACATATTATTTTTTTTATTTAATTTTTTCTAAAGATTATAGGCGCATGCAAGGCTATACTATTTATTTAAAAAAATAAAAAAGAAAAGAGGACCCCAAAATAGCTGTGCGGCTATACTATTTTTTTTTTAATTTTAAAAAGACCCGACTAGCACTACGTGGTTGATTTTTTTTTTTTAAGAGTATATCTGCGCGGCTATATTATTAATTAAAAAACCACTATAGTATAGTCATGCGGGTATACTCTTTAAGTATATTATATTTACTATTTATTAAAAAAATTAAGTGTATAATACATGAAAATTATACTATTTATTTATTATTATTTTTTAAAAGAGGACCCGCCTAGTGGCTAGGCGGTCCTTTATTTATTTATTTAAAGAGTATAGCTGCGCGACTATACTTTTTAAAAACACTTTTGGTTGTTAGAAAGTGAAATTTAACATTTTGGAAGCAATCCCAAACATACCTAGTTATTTCCAGAAATAAACATTTTTTATAATTATTTTAAGTGTTTTTATATTAAGCAATCGACAAATCAAGAATCCCTACTTTTGAGCGTACTTCCATCCATATTAGCTACAGAAAAAATGACTCTTGTTAAATACTAATTAAATACGTTTATGGTATCAAATTTGGTTATTTGTAGCAATGGTCCCTCAACTATACTCGGAGGTACATTTTGGTCACTCAACTCAAATATTAGTTGCAGAGGTCACTTAATTGGGTCTTGTGTTGTACTATTAGTCCCTACCGTCAAGTCTCTCTAACGGTAGGGACTAATGGTGCAACACAACACCTAATTGAGTGACCTCTATAACTATTTTTGGAGTTGAGTGACCAAAATGTAACTCCAAGTATAGTTGAGGGATCATTGCTACAAATAATCCTAACTAAAAAGTCACATTTGCCCATCAATAATCTAATAGATACTTGTCACGTCATCATTTTAAACAGAAAAAGTCACAGACTTGACGGTAGGGACTAATAGTGCGACACAACACCCAATTGAGTGACCTCTGCAACTAATATTTGAGTTGAGTGACCAAAATGTAACTTCGAGTATAGTTGAGGTACCATTGCTACGAATAACCCTATATTTGACATTATACTGTCTGCATTACAATTCATAAAATGAAAGGTGCTTATAAAAAGAAGGGTTAATCGTTTTATTAGTCCCCCAACTTGGACCAAATTTGCATTACCCGGGGTCTTTTAACTTTAGTTTCGTTTGGACAGCTAGTCCTACCGTGACTTTTGTCAATTTTTTCTTTAAAATTAAGGGTAGATGGGTCTTTTCAGGTTGGTTTTATTATCCCCCTTCTGTAACTCACCTTCTCTCTTAAATGGACCTCGCAGAGCCGCCAAAAACCTAAAGAACCAAAAATTCCAATCCGCTTCTGCAACTCGCCTTCCCTCTTATATTGGTTGAGTAAAAGTTGGAATCGTCAAGTTTGGAAGCTTGGAGAGCAAATTAGTTTGAAGGATGGCAAGTGATATGTCTCAAACATCATCAATGGAATCTAACCAAAGCCCTAAATTGGTGAAGTATTGTCATTGTGGGAGTTTGATCAAATCGAGGACTTCATGGACAGACATGAATCCAGGAAGACGCTTTGAGGCTTGTGACAACAACCAGGTAAACAATTTTTGATTTTTGGATTTATGCACAAAATTGGTATTATGTTCAGATTTTGTACTAATGAAGAACTTGATAATAATGAAGCAGAAAAACAGAGTTGGAAAGCTTCAACAGAAACCCTTTTGTCTGAAAGCTCTTCTTGTTGACTCTTCAGCCTTTTCGTTTCTTCTTTGGTTCGTACATTTGGTCAATGTTCTGATGTACTATAACTCGTATCAGAGCATCTAAAAGAGTGAAAGTCGTTTTTGTCCCTCAAAACCAACCGGAAAAGACCCATCTATTCCTAATTTTAACGAAAAAATTGACAGAAGTCATGGTGGGACTAGTTGTCCAAACGAAACTAAAGTTAAAGGACCCTGAGTATCATTTTGGAAATTGAGGTACTCAAATGCAAATTCGGTCCAAATTGGGGGACTAATAAAACGATTAACCCTAAAAAGAAACAAAAAGTAAAAAATCACTGAAATAAAGTTGTTTTTTGGAAAAAAAAAGAAAAAAAAAAGAAGGATGATTGTATATAAAAATACCTATAAATCAGTCAAAATAAAATACCTACCATCATCCTATACATCAGTCAAAATAAAATACCGGTAACTCTAACTCCGAACGACAGCGAGTCCGTCACCAAGGAAGCACAAAACGACTCCCTCTGGTTGTAAGCGCAGATAAGATTCGCGCTTCGTAACCACTTCTACGACACTTTAGAGAAACCCATTCGCTGGTGCAATTCGCAAGTCGTAGATGGCTACATGTTCATCTTCTTCCACCAGATAATTCGTATAGGCTCTCATGGATCAGCAGCTCAAACACGAAGGCTTCATCCAATCCGCGCCACCTCCATTTCCTTCCGCCATAGAATTTCCTCAGCCCCCTCCCGATTCCCGCGTTCCCTCCGGCCGCTCCCAACCCAATTCAAGGTTCGTCGTGCTCTTTCTATCTCTGGTTTTTTGTTGTTGTTAAATTTTGTATATTTTGGCATTTTATCACCAGGGGGTCCAATTAAAACGATTGAGTCTTGGATTTATGGTGTTATCTTTTCTGGGTTTTTTTCTGATCGAGCTAATTATGAATAATTTTTGTGTTGTCTCAAGGTTCGTATGCATTTTTAAGTGTAAACGTTTGTTTCTGATTGAGCTAATTATGAATCATTTTTGTTTTGTCTCAAGGTTCATATGCATTTTTCAGTGTAAATAGGCTTACAATCAAATTGAGAACTGTGGCTAAACACATTTAAAAGTTTAATTTAGAGAATGGTTTAATGAGACATTGTATGTTTTGTTGTGTGCAAATTCTATGATGTGAAGTTTGTGAACCCAGTTATCAAATCAATGTGTGCACAATGCCTTTTCAATAGTTGACTTTCTTGCACACTAGAATTGGTGGGTTACCCTCTAGTCAATCTGTGATGGATTACTGTTTGCAGCCAAAGGCCTGAAGGGGAAACTAAGGATTGTCTAACTGCTAGAAAGATTCAGAAGGCTGACCGGGAGAAGTTGAGGAGGGATCGACTGAATGATCAGTTTCTTGAGTTGGGGAATGTTTTAGGTACAATTGAATTGTTCATACTCTATTGTTTTTGGATTTTATATCTTTTAGGTACTCCATTTATCATACGGGCTTTAGCTACCTCTTTGGCATAGATATCATAGATAGAGATTTTGGCATCTACAACTATTTCTATTGTCAAATCTTATTGTCTTATGTTTGTATCATTTCATTATAGTACTGTGCATGAGTAGATTGTTTATGTTTGAATGTCCTTATGGAGCTGAGTGCCATATGACACGATTTATCTGCCACTACGTTATATAGAGTTGCATTTGAAAATTCTTTGTGCCACTGCATATTTGCACAAGTTCCTTCTTTTGGTTTATGGGACTTACCTTCAACTTACTAATGTGTAGTATTCTTCCTGTATAACTGCTTGCAACTTTCATTATGGTGCACGTTTATGGATTTTCCTGTATACCTGCTGGATACATGAATATCCCACACTTTTGTATTGATTTACATTTGTTACTGTAAAACGCAGATCCAGACAGACCCAAAAATGACAAAGCAACCATTTTAGCTGATACAATTCAAGTGCTGAAGGATTTGACATCGGAAGTAGACAAACTTAAAGCTGATTGTGCTTCACTAACCGAAGAGTCTCGTGAGGTGATTTAGTGTTTTATTTATTTTTATATCCTGGTGAACAATGCCCAATGCTGGATTCTTTTATAGGGCATCTAATCACTATTTTGTTTATAAACAGTTGACGCATGAGAAAAATGATCTCAGAGAAGAGAAGGCATCTCTTAAATCTGACATTGAGAACCTTAATGCTCAGTATCAGCAGAGACTCAGGGCTATGTTCCCTTGGGGTGCTATGGATCACTCAGTTGTAATGGCCCCACCTTCATATCCATATCCAATGCCAATGCCAATGCCTCCAGGTCCAATTCCCATGCATCCACATATGCAGCCATACCATTATTTCCCAAATCAGAATCCTGGGATCATTCCTAACCCCTGTTCAACTTTTGTTCCATATGTTACCCCTAATACTCTGGTTGAACAGCAGTCCACCCAATATGTATCGCCAGTAGTGCATCCAGGAAGTCGGTCTCATGTTTCAGGCAAACAAGATTCACGAAACAAATTATCCGGAGAGAGTAAAATTGACAGAAGTGAAGATTCAAATGATGTTACGACAGAACTAGAATTGAAAACTCCTGGATCTATGACTGATCAGGTCAGTTGTAGCCTTCTAAGTTGTTTAAAGAATGATATAAAGCTTTTCAACCATGTTTAAGTAAATTATAATGGAGCTTATTGGCTTTATCTTACCTTTTGAGTCCTCATTGACGTAATTTGATTGTTTTGTAGGATTTATCATCAGTACGAAGAAAATCTCAGAAGTCAGCGAGGAAGGAAATCAAGGTTACAGAAGGGAGTTCTTCAAGCAGATGTTCTTCTTCTCGTAGTGTACAGGATAGCTCATCTAATAGCGTAGTTGGTGGCACAAAGGCTGATGACTGAAAAAGAGAAAAGGTAACAAAGAACAGAACAAGGCAGGGTCATTTTGTTCTTTAATAACGTCAACAAAGTGCTCCATTTGTTTGATTTTAGTGAACTGTTTTTTAAGGTTGCTTGAACATGCGACATAGGTCTGAACTAAACTACTGTATAATTGTGGCAGAATGCTTATGGTGTTGGTACTAAATATAAAGATTTTGTTTTCTGCAGGTGTCTTCTTGCACGAAGGTGGCAAAGGATGTTGGTTGGTTTTCATTAGCAAGGTATGGGGCGTTAAGTGGATTTCCATATTCTCTTTGTAGCATGTTTAGACACTGATATTGCAGCTGGGAAATGTACAAGATAGGGTTATCTATTCCACAGGAATATGTATTTGTTGTTGTAAATAGCAGTCTTGATATTCAAGAAAGAGATTATTTTATTCAGTGAAAATGTGAAAACAACAGTGTATGTGGTTTCTTGTGGCTTTTGCATCTAGCTGTAGTGGATAGAAGCTGCTGCAGGGATTTTTAGGGATTCTTTTGTATTGAGGGTGAAGGTGAATTAGGGGAAATGTTGGGCTACTCATGAGTCATGGAGATGACTGAGATGAAATATACAATGTTCATTTCTGTTCCTTCTCACCAATCAATTTTTCACTGAAAGTGCATCTGATCTGAGTATAAAAATACGTCCGACTGTACATGGATATGATTTCGGACGTAATTTTTAAGCATGAAATTGTAGACTGTATAGTGTAAGAGATTAAGACTTATCACGTCTTAGTAAAGTGAGAGCCTGTGAGATCTCTTGGCATAGAAGCCAGATGAGCGGCTGTAGTTAAAAGTGTTGCATTTTCTCCAGACGAATCTGAAGATCTTTTTGTATAAAAACGAACTATGTCATAATCCTGAATCTTTGAGGTTGAGGTCCAAAAAGGCCAATACGTGATGGCACGGGCTGTGATTGGTGAAAACATTTGAAGGACTCAATTGCTGAAAGGGATGTTGAGTGGGGTGCTTTCATTTCATGGGCATGAATAGAAAGGAAATGTCCAATGAAAGCCACAAATTAGATAAACGGATAAAATGATTAGCATCCAACCCAAGACTAGGAGTGAATGGTGAAAATTGGCCAGAGAGCCTTCTATGCCGTAGATTTCTCAATATAATTGCAGTTGCTTCATTAAGCGGAATCCTTACTGATTCAACTACCATCGTTCTCGTCTATGAGATTTGAACTCAAGATGGACTTCGAAAGAGTGGAGACCGTATGTTGTTTGCTATTGAACCGAAGCTCGTATATATACATGTATGTGTATTTTGAGTGCATGTATATGTGTATAGGGTGCATAATATGATGCAACCATACCGAAATTTATCCAAAATGAATATGCCTTTTTGTCTCTTTGGCATGCTTGACCAACAAATGCTTAATGAAAGACAAAAAAAAGCGGCTAACTTGACCTCATTATCTCAACTGTTTTCTTAACTGTTTCTTAGTTTGTACTGAAACCTCAAGACTCTCCCAGCCCTTTCTTTCTAGGTTTTAAACCACTTTCAAATCAAAATAAACGTTTGTCCTTGTGTTCTAGTGAGCCAAAGATTCACCCCAATTCTACATACTTGGTGGTGGTGCATAAAGTCAGAAATCAATTTTCATCGACCCTTAATATAATATTATCTTATTATTTTGTCTCATCATTTCTGAAGTAAAAACATAGAAAATGAATGGGCAACAGTTGTTCTACTTATTATTATAATAATTCACTAATGGTGGAGTGTTCCTATATAGGTTTGAATAGCCAAAGATGAGACCTATGTTCTTTTCAGATGAAACCTATGTTAATTCTTGGTTTTTACACAAGAATAAAATTATTTATTTATTGGCAACGAAGGAAAATATCATGTCTCACTCACTTGTTGAGGAAATTTTTTTGAGTAGAATGTTTTGAGATTAGTTTTAGCGCTCGTTTGGGCCTGCTTATTTAGGAAACACTTCTGCTTATAAGCACTTTTAACAAAAACACTTTTATTATAAAGTTGCTGAAAATTTTGTAAAAAATTGAAGTGCTTCATGGAAAAGCACTTGGGAGTGCTTCTTAAAGAAGCACATGGCATGTGTTTTTCCAGAAAGCACTTTTAAAATTTTCTATTAAACGTTGTTAAAAGCCCTTTTAGGGCTCGTTTGGGAGTGCTTTTGGAGCAGCTAAAAGCGCTTCTAAATGGGTGAAAACGCTTCTGTCTTTTAAAAATGGTGTTTGGCAAAAATTGCAAAAGCGCTTTGGGTGAGATCCAAAAGCACTTGGAGTGGTTTTGGAAGAAGCACTTGAGAGGTGCTTCTTGTTAAAAGCGCTGCAGGACAAAAACAAGGGAAGCACTTGGCTCCCTTTAATGAAACTTTTAAAATGCCAAAAATACTCATATTTAATTTTTCAAAATGCCAAAATACCATTTCTTTATTTTTTTTTCTATCTCTTTTTCTCTCCTATTAAAACCAAAACACTACCCTTTAATCTTCCCGTAGTTGTTTCTCTATCACATTAGCAAGTCTCCTCTAAATTTGCTTTCTCCTTTTTCTACACCATTTTCCTTGTAAAAATTCTTCATATCCCTACTGTTATTTTGTAAAGATGGATATTGAAGTAACAACCCCAAATTAACCACATCGTCACCAAAATGGAGACTTTCTTCTTACTCACAAAATGGAGACTTTTCAAACGCAATGAAATGCAACTCATCACCATCATCTTCTATAATCTTTTCACCTAGCTTTTTCTGAAACACGATTTCCCTTATGCTATCTTCCTACGATTCTTTAAATTTTTTTAAAGTACTTTTAAAAGCGCTTTTACTGTGTCAGCCAAACACTCAACAAAATATCAAAAGCGCTTTTATGTAGTGTAAAAGCACTTTTAAATGCGACATCCAAACGACAAACTGCTTCTTTGTAGAAGCGCTTATGTCATAAGCGCTACTGGTATAAGCGCTATTGGCATAAGCACTTCAGGAAGAAGCACTCCCAAACGAGCCCTTAGTTGTCAGAAAGCGCTTTTAACCCTTCTAGAAGCACACTCCCAAACGAACCCTAAGTACTTTTCGGTTTATAAACCTCATACTTTTAAAATTTTCTATTAAACGTTGTTAAAACCCTAAACCCTAGTTGTCAGAAAGCGCTTTTAACCCTTCTAGAAGCACACTCCCAAACGAACCCTAAGTACTTTTCGGTTTATAAACCTCATGTATCAAGTAAATTTAAATAGAATTATATATATATTTTTTGTATTGAAGCAAAAATTACAAGGAAAAGCCACGAGGGCAACCAACAATGAGGGAATCCTAGCCGTTGGCAAATTTTTGGTAGGAATAGGGTAGGTGATGGTTTGGTTGGTACCTGACAAACAAACAACCATTAAAAAAACCAAACCCTAGATTGTTGGTTGGTAAAAATTTTTTTAAAAAAAAAGTAAAAAAAAGGGAAAAAAATCGCGTGCATTTGACGTTCTAAATAACAGCGTGAACCATCCATCCCTCCTACCTATCCTAACAATCCTTCTGGTTACCATAAAACCCAACCACCCTCTTTCTCTCAGTGACTCACTCTCGCACTCGTGAAATACAAGTAAAAACACAGAGCAAGCAAACCCAAACTCGGAAGCTCCAAATCACTGAGTCAGGCATGGCGGTGGCCTCCACATCTCTCGCTTCTCAACTCTCTGGCCCTAAATCCGTCTCCTCGTACTCCGGTCTGCGACGATCGTGCTCCAAGTTGGACCACACCCAGTCTCTCTCCCTCTTCCAACACCTTCACTCCCAGCTCCGCCTCTCTTCCTCCTCCCGCAAAGCCTCCAGAGGCGTCGTCGCCATGGCCGGCACTGGAAAGGTCTGTTATTTATTTGAACTTCCTTGTTTTTATCTCTCTTTGTGTTTTGTTTGGTTTCCTAGAAAATGTGGAAATGAAAGGAAAAATCTTGGATCTCAATTGATTAAAGGTATTAAGAAAATGGTGAAATTATCCTTAGTTTCAGAATGCGATTGTCCTTCACTAGAAATGCCTGGATATTTTTGGATTCTCTCCTCTTTGGATATATATATTTTTTGTAATTAATTGTATCTTTTGTTGTGTTTGCAGTTCTTTGTTGGTGGAAACTGGAAGTGTGTAAGTACTCTTTTGACTGCAATGTCTGTTTGCACTACCTCTAGTGAATTGTTCTCTTTGTGTTAAAAGAATTTTTATGCTTCCTTCATAGAGCAAAGGGGCTGAAATGCTCAGAACATTTCCACTCAAACACATTCTCAATTTTGAAGTTTCATTATATCATCTTTCGAAAGCTACCACCTTTCAACCATGTTTTTTTTCAAACATAAATCCAGCGCTTGAAATTTCAATTCTATTTTAAATTTTAAATTTGTTGTTAATCTAGTGTTACTTCCAATGGTATATATTTTACAAGTAAGTATTTTAAACTCTGTAGAATCTGTTTTCTCTAATGTATTTTCTTAGCCTGCTTTTGTTGGATATTGAAGACATATACACATTCAAACTCTTAAGATGGCTCAGTTCTTCTTGTGACCTTTTCATCTTTGCTGTTTCATTCAGAATGGCACAAAAGACTCTATCAGCAAGCTAGTCTCTGACTTGAACAGTGCCAAATTGGAAGCAGATGTTGGTGAGATATTGTTATGTTTGATCTTCAGTATATACCTGTTTCAATTTGCAGTAGGTTTACTAGATTGCTTTAGTCTTGCCAATACATTATACATGATGAATGACCAAAATCTGGTGGGAAGGAAACTCTGCGTGACTGGAATTGATCAATAAGTTTGAGTGTATATGACTTATTTAGAAAAGTAGGCAGTAATATAATTGTAGCTAGGGAAGAAACTTGGAAGTGTATGCAACGTGCGAATAGGTGTTGGGCATAGGTGGTTAAGGGTGGCAAGTCCACTATGTTACTTTGTAGGTACAGAATGGAGTCATTTGTGTAAAAGTCAGTTTGTATTGATCTCATTTATATATCATTTAAGAATATGAATTTATAGTGTTTTTAAATTTTGATTTTCTTATGATATGTACAGATGTTGTTGTTGCACCACCATTTCTTTACATCGATCAGGTGAAGAACTCGTTAACAGATCGTATTGAAATATCTGGTCAAAATTCGTGGGTTGGAAAAGGTGGCGCTTTCACGGGAGAAATCAGGTTAGGTTACTCTGCCTTGTTAAATTTCTTAGTAGTTTGTCCTTCACAGATACATACATTTTCATCTTGCTATTACAAATTTATCTTTGGTTGTCTTGATTAGAGACTATTCTCTTTACGACTTATCTTAAACTTGCTGGGTGGTAGGTTCATAGTTTATATTTCTGCGCTCCCCCCTCCCTTTCGAAGCTCCTCTAGAATTATATCTCGAAAACTGTTTCTCAAACATTGTAAGAATCCTGTTTGAATTTGACATCAATTTCAAAAAGGTTATTTGTTCATTGTATTGCAAGGACAATGAGCGGTCCTTTCAAGATTCTGGCTTAAAAATCCGAAACAGATCTTGTAATAGTAGTATATATAAGCTCTGAGTTGACATATGCCTCTCATAGTTCTGTTATGGTTGCATTTTCAGTTTAATGAACTCATATAATTACTATAATTACCATGTCCATTTTGCAGCGTTGAACAATTGAAGGATATTGGGGCCACATGGGTTATTCTTGGACACTCAGAACGGAGGCATGTAATTGGGGAAGATGATCAGGTGAATGTTCCAAATATTTCTTTAAATTTTTATGAAGGTCTCTAGAGAAAATGATTAGTGTATATTCTGATCTATGATAAGTATTCAAAATGTAACTGAAATTTATTAATTGCAGTTTATAGGAAAGAAAGCTGCCTATGCCTTGAACGAGGGTCTTGGAGTTATTGCTTGCATTGGTGAGAAGCTAGAAGAAAGGGAAGCAGGGAAAACTTTTGACATCTGCTTTCAGCAACTGAAGGCTTTTGCAGGTAACTTCTAAATGCTTTTTCTTTTTCACGATTGTGCAGCCAATTTTGGAGTCCCATTTCAAGATGAATAGCTTGTCCCTTGTGTATAACACTAATTTGTCTATTATGTGCAGATGCGGTACCCAGCTGGGATAATATAGTTATTGCTTATGAGCCTGTTTGGGCCATTGGAACTGGTAAGGTGGCCAGTCCAGAACAAGCTCAGGAAGTACATGTAGCTGTCCGTGATTGGCTCAAGAAGAACGTGTCACCAGAAGTTGCATCCAAAACAAGAATTATTTATGGAGGTAGCTTGTTTCCTGCAACTTTTTTTGGTTGGTCGTCAGTTTCTTACAAATTTCACCTCTGTGATTAAGCAACAGAAAGCACTTATGCATGTTCTTAAAATAGGTCAAGGGAGGCCAATTCATGTTAATATATTGGCAATAATGGCATCATCTATGAATTTTAACTGTAAGATGTAAATAACTTTAGAAACATCCAACCTGGACCCTTGTCGTAGAATCATTTGAACATAATGATTCTGCTCAGTGCTCAGCTAGTTGGGATATTCTAGTCTTAGCTCTGAGTGAATATCCGACTTCCGGTAGTATTGTAACTAAATTGGGATCCAATTTTAGGGTCTGTAAATGGAGGCAATTCTGCTGAGCTTGCAAAGAAGGAAGATATTGATGGTTTTCTCGTTGGTGGTGCTTCCTTAAAGGTATACTACCGCAATTATTTGCCTTGAGAGTACTATATAGTTTAGAACCTTTTTGTTTTCGGTTTGTAATTTTTTTGCAAATGACACTAACAAGTTGAGTTTTCATCATCTAGGGTCCTGAATTCGCTACCATAATCAATTCCGTAACAGCCAAGAAAGTTGCAGCTTGATTATGGTTGTTTTGGCACCAGGATCAAATAAAGGGCCATGCGAAGGTACACTTTGAGTTTGAAGCTTTGTTGTAACAAATGTATGAGCCAGTCTATCATACGGATTTTTTCTTCTTCTTTATTTTTCCTTCTTTTTGTGTGGTCATTTTTTAAGTTTTCCTCCATAAAGATAGGAAATATCTTCTATCCATTTTCCATGGGCCACTTATTGTCTGGTGGACACTAGAGCAATACAAGTCATTTTAAGCTTAAAACATTTTGAACCAAAGGGTCCTCTCTCATAATGCAATCAACATCAAGGGGTCCTCTCATTTTCTCAATTCTCATATCCCATAGTGAATTTGGTAATTGAAAATAACTGCCTTCGCCGTAATACTCGAAAATAAATGAATAAATGAATAATATTTTTGGCAAATGGAAAGCTAAAAACTAAAATTGAAGAATAAAGGAAGAGAAAAGAGAATTCCATGGACTCATCCTTAATTAAGAAGCTAATTCGGTATCATTCACGTGAATGAGAGCATATTAGTACAAAGTAAAAAGTTTGTGAGGCAGGCAAAGTCTACACTCAAAGCATATATGCCAAAGCCAACCTACTGTGAAGAGCAAGCCAAACCCTAATCACCCTTCATTCTTATTTATATAAACCTTGTTGTAAGGAGACTTAAGAGTGAAAAGAGGACAAAGATGGAGTGGTTCTACCCTAAGAGGAGGAGGGGTCCAGAGTGGAAACAAGGGTGGACTTGCCAGACCTTGTCCTCCATCTCTGCACCACCTCTGCATTTGCTCACCATCTTTGCCATTGTCATTGGCTTGCTGTGGCTTTCTCAATACACAGAGTACAAGGCCCAAATGCAACACACAGCCTTTAATTTCCAGCTCTTCCTAATGGTGTTGCCTGTTTTGTTGATATTTGTGGTAGCTTCATGTTCTTCAGTCCCTTCTAGTGGATGGTTCAGCTTTCGGTCCCAACATCCACAGCGTGAGCCAGCTCACCGGGCCGGGGGCAGTGGTGGCTCAGGCTCACCGTGGGGTGTTGCCATCTTGTTGGTGCTGATTTTGGTCTTGCTATCTTACCAATCATCCTTTCATTCCAAGTGGCTTGGACCTCTTGGGATGTCAGATTAATTGTGCTTTGGTTTTTTTTTGTTGTTGAGAGAATTGTGCTTTGTGAAGATGTATTGGGTTGGATAAACGAATCTCTCCATTTGGCTTTAACCATGCAATGTCATCAATCACCGTAGACTTGCTACTACAAGATTGAGCCAACTCTGATGATTGTGCTTAGTATCAAGCTCGAGCTGGGTTAATTATTTTAGATCTAAGTTCCGACCGGCTTAATTATTTGTAAATAAACTCATGATTCTTGTGTGTTTTGGTTATTAATTCACATGCATATTTGTTTTATCACACCCTGCACATATATATTCTATTTCAAAAAAAGATGAAGATAAATATAAAGTCCAGCTTCCATTTCAAATATGTTTAGGGAGTATTGGCAATCACATGGTACATACACTCACAACATTCCATAAGTTGTTTCTTGAAGCTGGATAAGTCCAGTACTGGGTTCATCCATGTAAACTTGGGATCCCCATAAGTGAAATGGCAACGCTAAGCCCTCTCTTCATACCTCCACTATACTTTCCGGCTTGTTCGTCTGCACCCCCACCATAAAATAGATTGACACTTTTCAGCGATTCTTCCACTGCTTGTATTAATGCAGAATCCTTGAGGTTTTTAAGTCTTCCATAAAATAGTAAACGCACCCTTCCAATGAGGGTTTCCCATAGCAGGTCATGCTGTGGACAAACACCCATGCTGATATATATTTCATCCATCTGAGTCTGAATGTGCAGACCCTGAACATAAGCAGTGCCCAGAGGTTGACTTTGTGAGACCAATCATCATATTGATAAAAGAGGTCTTCCCAGCACCATTAGGGCCAAGCATGCCAAAACACTCTCCCCGAGACAAAGCAAGAGACAACCCTCTCACTGCAAATTTCTCAGGGTTTCCATCTCTTCCAGAATACACCTTTTTGAGGTTGTCACAGATGACTGCATGAGTTGTATCTGAATCCAGTAGCAATTTTTCAACCTTCTCCCTCTCTTGACCAACATCAGGTTTCTCCATCTCAATAGAAACTTTAGATCCCTCTTTGTGAAGAATTTTAACCTATAAGTGAGCCAAATATAACAAAACATAGGATGTAGATTGAAGATACTGTAAGAAAATAAGTATAGGAAATCATCCTGACAGATCCTTGTAAAAACTCAAGGTAGACATTGGATGCCAGATTCACTAAACTCGGAAGCCGCAGCAAAGCAATAGGACCACTGCCCGTGTCATTCTTAAAAGGTTGAATTGTACCATATGCTTACATTAAAATTATCCCCATTTGAGTTAGAGAAATCATAGGCTGCAAGTACTGTGTGATTGCTAATACTCCCTACACATATTTGAAGACAATCAATGAGCCATAATGAAGAATTCGACATGGTTGCAGCCATTGTTGACGCATCCGATTGCGCCTTCTTCGGAATTGACTCGTCCCCCCGTCACCTTCCCATCAAATCCAATAATTCTAATTCTATTCAAACTTTCCCAACTTTTGAATTTTTTTGGTCCGCAGATAAACCCAATCTCAATGATTACTCTCACATCATTGGCGAAATTTTTCCAAATTTCACATCCAAAACATAATCGGATTCCTCCAGAAGATCCAAACACAAATCCTTGAACTTTTCTAATAGGACATACACAAGTTTCCTCCAATATCTCGTTATTTTGTCTATAAAATGTGAAAGTTTTTTTTTTCTTTTCATGAGAATCACATCTGAAAGTTCAATCATTTTATTAAAGTTGTAACCACTAATTATTTGTGTGTTTTTATCAAACAAAAAGAGAGAAAAAAAGCTTAAAAAAACTCAGAGAAGCTTAAGTTTCAATGAATAATCATGAAAATAAGAAAAGTGAGGCGCATTTAAATTCTGAAATCATGCAAATGTCTTGAATTTGTTTTTGTGATATGGAACATCATACTAATAGTGTTTAACGAAGTGTGCAGGGTTTCGTTGCTATTAATTATAATTTTTTTTTATCACATATTTAGTATGAAAACCATTTTTTGTAAGTTTTTAATTCAAATTCATCCCAATATTTTGTTTCTGTTGCATTATGTTTCTTTAGCAAATCCACAAGAGAACCAAGAAGACGAACAAGACATTACTCAAAAATGGAAATTCAGGCTTTCCGTTCAATTCTTGAATATGTAACAGCTACACATGCATCAACAAAATCCTCATCTATAAAATCAGTAGAGAAGATTTGCAACCTATCTTCAATACCTCTAGAGAAGCACTGAGTTATAAACAGCCTTGCATACTCATGAATCCGACCGGTCACCGGTTTCACACACACAATAGGGTAATCAGGCTGAGGTGTCACTGTGTTCTCCACCCTGTAAAAGAATGTCCTTGTTGAAATTGGAGGCTGCTCACTCAAATACTTCAAGTTGCTTTCGAATTTTGTCGATGGCAAATCCGTGTTGATCCAGTCATCCTTCAAGTGCTCAGAACTCCATAGAAGGCCCCCTGCCTTAGGCTGAGGTGAATTCCTTGGCTTCCACACGCATATTATTCGCTTCGGAAACAATTCTGCAATGGTCTTGTTGAACACATTGTCATCCTGGTGGATGAGAACCTCCCCAAATTGATGCACCAAATACTGCTCAAAATCAGGAGGGTCATCATGACCATGTTCCGTCCTGATTTCAAGGAGTATGATCTCTGACTTTGTTTCAGATAGAAACTTCTTGATGTCTCTGATCACAATATCAATGCTGTATGTGACAAGAATTCCATGGCAGACGCGACGATCCTTTTGAACCCGAATGTCAAACACTCTGGTGCCTATGACAAGCTGTTGGTAGATGGACAGAGTTTGGCATTGTGCAAAAGGCCTAGTTATGCATGGAAATCCAATCTTGTTGGTTGCAGAGTCATGTGTTCCTGGCCATAAAATATTGTGTATGTGAAGCTTCTCAGGGTTGAGGCCTGCCATCCAATTTTTTCTATCTGTAGGCCTAAGGGCACAAGCTGGAAAGTCCTCACCACAGCTTTGATGAAGATCACGCATCGATTTCCTCTCCGTTGAGATCGCCTTACGGCGTTCTATCTGTTTAGGGAAACAGGAACCCATTGTTAATAAGAAGGAAGAAGAAGAGGAGTTGGTTCTTTCCTCTTCCTCTTCTTCCTTGTCTGGATGCAAATGGAGTAGGCTGTGCAGAGAAATATTATGTTTATTAGATACAAAATAAAAGGAAGCATTGTGACGTTTTAGACAATAGGTTTTATTGTGGCAAGACTTACTGTCAATAAGTTATAATTATCTTCAAGTGTGTTTTTCATCTTGGTAGGTCGTCATTTGATTAAATAATTGGTGGAGAGCTATAATCGATGCTTCTCTGTAGTTGATCCACTTGTATTCATTCTTCTGATTGGTCCACTTGTGTGGCTCTCCAGACTTATATGACTTGTTGGTTTTGATATCTTTTATTTTTTTTCAATCTCTTTTTCTTCATAATGTTTCCAAAATTCATGCTAAATTTACATGGTTTACGGAAATGACAGAAATTATGGATTTAAACATGAATGAAATTGACAGTAGAATTTTTAACCCTCATTTCAGGGAAACAGTGATTTTTTAAAATATTTTTTTCCTCATCTGATCAATAAAGACTACCTACCACCAGAGATGCTCATTTGCAGTTTTACTGTCACTGCAGATGCTACCAAAACTAGTGATGACATGTTGAACTTTTCCTGCCCCACAAAAGACCTAGTAGTTTCTCTATTGTTCCATTAAGTGCTTTCAAAAGTTGGGAGAAATGAAAGTTGTATGGCTGAGAATTGAGCCATTTGAACAATTCAATGGTAGACATTGGATGTCATATAACCTAACCGTACTCCTCAACAAGAAACGCATGAAAATTGTCATTGACTTCACACCATGAAGTTTCCATTGGTAGGGCCTACCATGAAAATAATGCAACTTGAATTCTTGTAATCTCAATCTAAAACAAATTATGAGCTTGTTTGGTGTCTAGGATTGGATTGAATACGATAACTCCCTATATTAGCATGGTAAATGAAGAAATGAAATTTTATTGACTACGTTGAAGGTAGAAGATGGATTACTCATAAAAAAAACTTATCCTATCTAATCCCCACAAAATGGTAAGATATCATACGCACCAAACGAGCCCCGTTTGGTGTCTAGGATTGGATTGAATACGATAACTCCCTATATTAGCACGTTAAATGAAGAAATGAAATTTTATTGACTACGTTGAAGGTAGAAGATGGATTACTCATGAAAAAAACTTATCCCATCTAATCCCCACAAAATGGTAAGATATCATACGCACCAAACGAGCCCTATCGAACTTGCTTGACATGCTTGGTTAGCACTGGGCCACAAGGGCCGGTGGTAGGTTTGGATATGGTGAGGGCTATTGTCAAATTTTGATTACAAGTTGCGCAAGAAACCAGACACGGACAATCAGCTAAAATAGACAATTTGGAGATTGTAAATCCCCTGATTACCGGGATGTTGCTGTCTATATGTATGAAGTACAAATATATTGCTTTGACTGGGCGGCTCCACCTTTTCATATATAATATAACTCTCATATAAAATAACTTTTATATATTTGAAACTCTAAAAGTAAACCTTCAAGGAAGGAGTTACTTCTGATCAGAGCAATTCATGCTTACCTACTTCATATTAATTTCGCTAAATATGTTCACTTACAAGTTACAACAGCAATCAAATTAGCCTAATGAAACCATTAGACATAAAAACAAAAACAAAAATCATATGGAAAACCATTGAAGATTCAGTTTCAACTCAACATAAACAGAGCATAATCTATTTTCACAATATGAGTAGAAGATCATATTCCATGGCATACAACAACTACTGCATATACACACAACTTTTTTTTTTATATAATTTTTTTAAATTTTTAAACAGAATACTGAACATACTATATGAGCCAGCTGTCCCGGAAACTAGACTGGAATTGCAGCAAAACTAGCAGGAGCACAATGAAAGCAGCAACACCCCATGGTGAGCTTCCCTCTGAAGGTTGATGGTAGGTTCTCGTGCGGTTTCCCAGTGGAGACATGGAGAAGAGCCAATCAGGATCCATGGAAGACAGCAACTTAACAAGAAGCAGAAGTGCTATTGGTGTAACAAAAAGCAACCAATTGAATTGCGTTTCAGCTTCTTCCGCAGCTGACTCAAGGGATGAGTACCAGGATATGCCAAGAAAGATTGAGATTACTGCAAGAATTAGCAGAACTGGATATGGCAGGGGACTTAGAGAGAACCCTTCTAGGAAAGAGCTGGTTTGGCTTCTTCCATAGGCCATGAAGAGAGGTTTTAGTGTTCAAATGGACAAGCTCAAGAGGTTGTTAGGAATTGAAGGGCCTGTGTTTTTATAGCCAAAAAACAGGGAAGTGACTGCTTTAATTTTTACAGCCAACTAATAAATTAATCTTATTTGCTTGGGTTTTTATTGCTTAATAAAGTCTTTGTGGGGTTTCATTTATGCAATGGAATGGAGAAGGTGTGATGCGTGGGTGGGGCCACAAGAAAAAGAAGGCACAGAAGATAAGAAGAAGAGCTCTAAGATATCTACACCGGCCGAAAAGAAATGTAACTTACCAAAAAAGAAGGATAGGACCTGTAGTTCTCAAAAAAAAAAAAAAAACACAAAAGAAGAAGGATACTTCTAAGATTCTAAGATAAAAATCCAGTGATTGACAAAAAATATTTTAAGTTTTACCATTTTTTTTCTGTAAAAGAGGAAAAACAAAAACTTTTGACCATTTAAAATTGTTTTTTGTTTTTTTTTTCATAACTAGGAATTTCTTAGTAGCTTTTTATTTAACAAAAGTGTTTGAATCATTGGACTCTATAATATAGAGTGAAACGTCCCTTTAAATAACTTTGTTTAATGGATCCATCTATGGGAGCTAAGGTTATAGTTTTTTTATATAGAGAAAAATGATAATTATATTAATAAATTAAGCACAAATATCATCAACTATAAGGGCAAATACGCATAAAGGGATGATATAAATAACACATGGTTAATCCGGATACATACCACAAAATGACAAAGAAATTTCGGCATTTAAAAGCCGCATGCCTAAACAAACCAGACATGAATTACATCGCCCAAATCTTTTAATACAACTTTAAATTCTCACAAGTACAAAACACAAGTAGAGACTAGAAAACAATCAAACACCCAACTCACAAAGAGTTTATGCAATTATTACAAAATAAGAAAAGTACAAACAAACAATAACCAAAAACCAATTGAGCCACCACCACAGTTGCTACCTCCGTCACCATAGCTGCCATTGCCTCCTTTGAGACAGAGAACACCACCTAGATTGCAGTCACTCACTGTACAATAAAAAATCAACCAACAAAACTACAAATCCAAGTAGATCTAGGTAAAAAACCAAGATCCAAAACAGATCTAGGCATAAATAATCTCCCCACAATTAAAACCCCAAATCCATTATATGGGGAAGGGGAAAAATAATAGGGAGATAAGAGCATCACCAATGAGATGGTGTATTTTCAGGGGGTGTAAAGCCACCTTTACATCCCATTTACACCTCCATAAGAGCTCTTTCAGTGGGCAACCCCTTGCTCGGGCAAGGAGGGCCTAGGCCCAAAAAGTGTTTCCAGCGGGCAAATGTAGCCAGGGCAGTTGGTGGGCTCCACAAGCCAGGGCTGGCCCAAAGGCAAGAATAGCCTAGGCTGTTGTCTGGGTTTGCTGACGTCAGCAACGAAATTTTTTTTATAATAAAAAACTAAAAATTTCAGAATTTTTTTTAATAAATACTTGGTCATATTTTTCACTTCCCACACCAAAACTCTATACAAATTCCTCTCATTCATATCTCATGTGAATAGTGGTTGTCATGGCAATGGGTGGAAACACCACAAGCCTTTTGCAAGGGCTGTCACTATTCACATAAATAGTAACAGCCCTTACCCTTTGCCATGGCAAATGGGTGGAAGTTATCTAAGGTGTAAATACGTTTTTTGCTCAAATGGGTGAAGATGTAAATTAGAAGATGTAATTTTTTATTTTCTTGTACGAAAGCATTAGCACCATTGGAATCAAATATGGAAGCATTAGCACCGTTGGATCATACAACCCCATTAGTGCTTTGACGTCACATCACATTTTCTTCTGCTTCTCCCATTTTTCCACGCTGAAAGCTGATTCTCTCTCATGATTTTTCAACAACGGGGCCCACTTAGCTGGATGTTTAAAAAAGATGGACATTTCCATCTATTTTCCCATCTCACGGTGGCTTGCCATATTTGCAGCATGATACACCCTTGCATTGCAGTCGACTCCGGACAAATGAGGTGTAAATGAGCTTTAAAATCCGTTATACACCCAATCATTAGAGCATCCACAGTGGGAGGGTGTATAAGGGAGTGTATGTTAAATATACACCCATTGTGATCGGAATCACCTGCAATGGGGGGTGTATATGAATGTATAATTACATCACCACCTTGGAGATGTATATTTAGATGCAATTGTACATCTTTTTTTAACCTTGGAGATGTATATTTAGATGCAATTGTACATCTTTTTTTACATCTCTTGCAGGTGGGACCCAACTGCAAAAAGGTGAGGGAAAATGGAGAAAAGTGACTTTACACCCCCGAAAATACACCCTCTCATTGGAGCACAAAGCGTATTTACACCCCCCGGAGGTGTAAAGAGGATGTAAAAGTGGCTTTACACCCCCGAAAATACACCCCCCCCACTGTGGATGCTCTTAGTGATGCTCTAAGAGCAACTCCACCAATAAACTCCAGCCTGGGCAGGACAGAGCCCAAGCCCAGGCGAGTCCTTCCAGCAAGCCAAGACAGCCAGAGTAAGGTGCGGATTTCACGTGACTGAGTTGGCCCTCAGGCAAATCAGCTCTTGCTCTAGCCTGGGTTTGCTGACGTTAGCAACCAAAGAAAATCTATAAAAAAAAAAACTAAAAATTTCAGATTTTTTTTTGAAAAATAAATACTTAGTCATATTTTTCACTTCCCACACCAAAACTCTATACAAATTCCTCTCTTCATATCTTATGTGAATGGTGGTTGCCATAGCCTTTTGCAAGGGCTGCCACTATTCACATGAATAGTAATAGCCCTTGCCTCCCCTTGCCCTTTGACATGGCAAATGAGTGGAAATGCTCTATAAGGAAGAGAGAGGGAGTGAGGAGGAGGAGTGTCCTCCTTTCTCCCTCCAGGAACACACATCACAAAAAGGGTTGAGAGAGAAGAGAGATGCTAGGATTTATGAAGAGTTATCTTTTTCTTCTTAGACCTCTAAAGTTATAGTTTTTAAGTGTTATATAAAATAGAATTAGGAGTTATTGCTTTACTTGGGCTCCAAAGCTTTATTTATAAATATGGCCTCCTAGCGGAAGAAGAATACACATAAAATTCAACAAGAAATCTCTCATAATTTTAGCATTTTGCAGTTACACTCACTTCAAAAGAGATCGATTTATCTAGCCAAATTATAAATAAATAAAAAATAAAAAAAGAGAGATCGATATACTTCGGCATATATTACTTTCGATCGGAGACTACAAATTTTCTTTGGCAATCAGAAGTAAGAAAAGAAACAAATATATCTTTAAGACTTTGCAAATGTTAAAACAATAGTGAATCAATAAGAATAGCTTTGGTAATAAAAGCATTTTTAAAGAATTTATATATCTAGAAGTCAATGACCACTTAGCTTGAATCTCAAGTTTGTGTAACTTGTAGCTTTGGACATTGAATTATTACTTCCAAGCAATCAAATTAGCCTAATGAAACCACTAGGAAAAAAGAAACATCACATAGAGGATTCAAAACCCACATTGAAAATCATTGAAGATTCAATTTCAACTCAACATATGGCTCTTGATGTGAAAATAAACATGAGTAAAATATATTTCACAATATCAGTACAGAAATTATAAGTAGAAGATCATATTCCATTATATACAACAACTACTACATATACACACAACTTTTTTTTTATTTTTTATTTTTTAACGTGCCAGCTGTCCCGGAAAATAGACTGGTATTGCAGCAAAACTAGCATGAGCACAATGACAGCAACAACACCCCATGGTGAGCTTCCCTCTGAAGGTTCATGATAGGTTATCCTGTTGCTTCCCCATGGACACAAGGAGAAGAACCAATCAGGATCCAGAAAAGACAGCAGCTTAACAAGAAGCAGAAGTGCTATTGCTGTAAACAAAAGCAGCCAACTGAAATGCGTTTCAGCTTCTTCCACAGCTGAGTCATAGGATGAGTACCAGGATATGCCAAAAAAGATTGAGATTACAGCAAGAATGAGCAGAACTGGATATGGCAGAGGACTTAGAGAGAACCCTTCTATGAAAGAGCTGGTTGGACTTCGTCCATAGGCCATGGATATTGGTTGGATGGTTTTTCTTGATTATGAAGAGAAGTTTTAGTGTTCAAATGGACAAGTTCAAGAGGTTGTTCGGAATTGAAGGGCTTGTGTTTTATAGCCAAGAAACAGGTAAGTGTCTGCTTTGTGGAGTTTCATTTATGCAATGAAGGGTGATGCATGCGGCCACAAGAAAAAAACAAGGCACATAAGATAAGAAGAAGAGCTCTTAACTTATGCATGTACTGTTTGTGTTCAGGTACTTTAATGAGATATCTAAACCGGCCAAAAAGAATTGTACTTGTAATTATCCAAAAACAAGGATATTTATGCGTCTAGTCCACTAAGTGGTCTCAGGTTTTCTATGACATCTTGGTAATGTATGTGTGAGAAATCTCATTCTCCTTGTAGTTTAGATTATCGCTTATATTTAAAAATAAAAAAAATACTTGTAATATTCTAATATAAAAACTCAATGATTGATAAGAAATATACCATGTATTTACGTACTTTAAGCTTTTACCATCTTTTCTGCAAAAGAGGGGAAAAATAACCTTTGACCATTTGAATTGTTATTTCTTAATAGCTTTTTTTAAACAAAATTATAGTGTTGGAATCATTGAACTATAATGTAGAGTGAACCGTCCCTTTAAATAACTTTGTTTAATGGATCCATCTATGGAAACTACGTGGTATTTTCAATACTGAAGATTTTATTTAAAGTTTTAAAATAGAATCGAAACCTCATGTTCAACACTAAGGTTAGTATAGTTTTTAATTGTTATAGAAAAGAGGATTTGTAGTTTCACTCACTTCAAAAGAGATCCATATACTTTGGTATATATTATCTAGACTACGAATTTTCTATGACAATCAAAAGTAAGAAAAGAAACAAATACATCTATAAAACTTTGCATATTTTAAAACAATAGTGAATCAATAAGAATAGATTTGGTAAAAATCCTTTTTAAATAATTTAACTATTATTTAGTGTCACCTAAATTATATTGCCCCTTTAATTGACTTTTTTTCGTCCCTCATCAAGTTTGTTGTTTTGTTAAAATCGTTGATGTGGCCCGAACGGTATAAACTAGTTTGTTGAAATGTATGCCACGTAGGGATGTTGAAGATTCAAAGCAATCCACCTAATCCACTCAATCTATGCCGTGTTTAAGGGTGATATATCATTTGATATTTGACCAGAATTTTCGGATGCACTAGTGTAATTAAGGCTAAGTAGAAAAACATTCGTTTTATGTTAAAGATATTTGTATCGACATCCCTTTAGTTTTGTATGTCGACCAAAGCGCGAATGGTCACTTTTCTATTGGGGCATGCAATCCACATCAGAGGTGGGCGGTCCGTACACTTTATAGCCTTAACAACAGTCGGTAGTGCAACTTTAAAGCATCATCCACTCAGCCCAAATGATAATTGCAATCCCAACCTTCCACCCGACATGAAATTTTAATATTGAAAAACAATGTGGTGTGGTGTCGACATTAACTGAGCCTGTGTGATTTGTCGGTAATAGAAGATAAAAAATTCCCAATTGGAAATAATTTGGCTTCAACTATTTGTCTCTAATATAAAAGTTTAACAATGTTTTATTAAACTTCAGTGCAGAAGTGAGGAGCTAGTTTAAGAGCAGTTATCGATGCACCGAGGTCTTGTGTTCAAATTTTCCCTCCCTTATATCGCTCTGTACAAGAAAAAAAAAAATTTAAATAAATCTTTAGTGGAGATGAAAGATTCCTCAAAAAGTTAAGGATTAGTAATCCTTTTTAGAAATCGAATGGAAAGTTTGCAGCCGATGATACTTTTCTGCATTGAAGCTCTGCAACTTTGAGCAATCTTTCTTTCCTTCTTATCAATTTGATATTTAATCAGAGTCATCCCACCTAAATCCCTAACTAAAAATAATGTGTGTTCATTAGAAAATCACAGGCTAGTTTTTATGAGGTTCTGAACTCTCCTCGGCTCGCATAAAGACAGAAAAATTTGGTGTTTTGATTGGGTTGTGCTACTAAGGATAGAGAAGAATACAAGAAACAAAAACACACAATATTTACAATGATATTTTCGATCATGTTACAACAATCATATTATTTATTTGATTGCCCATATTTGATGTTGTAAGAACAACTTCAACACATTACATACAACAAATAAACCAAGAAACACACTGATCCTGGTATCTGAAATAGGTGTTAGACAGACAAACCAGCTTTTCAATCTGATAATATAACAGCACCAACCATGGTGAATAACACCAGCACAATCAGTTCAGAAGTAGGCACACTTGCAAGCATACGGACACTTGCAACACCGCCGAGGCATCATACAGGGCTTCTTGGGAGGTTCCATTGATGACAACCAATGCACAACCGCTAGCAAAAGCAACGGCGCTGCAATAAGCCCCCAATTTATCTGCAAACTGGGGGCTTCGACCTCGAAAGAGATCAAAGATGACAGAAGAAGAAGTATTGCGACCACTGCCAAGAAAAGCAGAACTGGGTATGATGAGGGGGCTTCTCTTCTACAACAGTGACAGCCCATCACGATTCAAGGGGCTTTGTCAATGGGAGTTGTTGTTTTACAGGGAAAAAATGTAGATGGAAACTGAAAACCCAGTTGACGTATAAACAAAGACTTCTATATATCCTAGTCTAATCTCAACCACACAAGTATTGGTGTTTGCTTTTGGACTCGGCTTTTGGTAGTTGTTCTATCAATCGTTGTCATACCAGCCTAATTATTCCATTTAGGAAATATAACACCAGAAAATGGTCCAAATGGCATGGGACCAGCCGAATGGGGTGGTGGGTGTATAGGGCATTTAACTTGAAAATCCATCATGGTCATCTATGGAGACCTTATTTAATAACCCACAATTAGATATAATGCACATTAAAAAGAAAAAAACAGAATTAACCTGTTTGATAAGAAACATTAGAACTTGCACTTTATAAGTAAGGTAAATCCATTTACACTTGAATGTATAAATTAACACGGAACAATGCAAAACCAAGGAAGGTACATATGTTAGGCTCAAGTCCCTCAAAATAGAGCTACACAAAAAGTACCCGCCTTCCCATCTGTTCTGTTAGACCCGAGTCCCTATTACTAACAGACAGCTTTGTTACTTCCATTTCCATGAGGATGCTACCCATTGTAGCTTCGAAAATGAGAAAGATATGACTACAAAATTTATTATCACATACATTGCATGTAATATTTGTTACAACTTACATGTTAGAAGAGTTGTATAAGTCGCATCAAAATGACGATGCCAGTATAGCCCACATAGGAATAAGCTTCCCTTAGACTTTTCCCTGGTATTGGAAATTGAGTTCGTAATCATGTTTCAAGGTGGCCAGAGTGTTTCTGCAAGGACCCTCTGCACAAACAAGAAGAAAATGTGAGACCGAGTCGAAATTCCTTCCAGCCACACCTTGTAGCCCTGACAAAAGTCAAATATTATTTACCTCCAAATAAGGTATGAAGGCGTTGAAGATCATCTGCTGAGCAAGTATCTATTAAAGCATATACACCTGGTCTTAGAGCTTCGTCTATTTCCCTGAAAATTAAACATACAATAGTTCAGCTAACCAATGCATTTCTCTCACCCCAAGATTGTCCACGCCAAGAGGTAACGCTTTTGGAGATTGTAATAGGTACTTTTTTTTAATGTATTATTACCCTCTTATTGTATAAAAATTGGAAGGTGATAGCATAATTACAAATTCAAGGTTTCCAGAAAACTTTTTAAGGGGAGAAAATGGGAAGGAGAAAGTGACTTATGAACATAGGATCTACACCAACCTCGCCCTTTTTCCATCTTAACTAAAGGCCAGCGGGAATTGATGTAAAAAAGTAATTTGGATTGTATTATTTCTAACAAATACAATTGATACACCACTGTTGTCATAATATAATTAATCTGTTATGCCTATTCGAGTTCACTAGGAAACTCATGAACACCATAACAACAAATAGTCCAAGGTACCAGAAATTACCTTTTGATGCCTGTTTTACGGGGCTTCTCTTCTACAACAGTGACAGCCCATCACGATTCAAGGGGCTTTGTCAATGGGAGTTGTTGTTTTACAGGGAAAAAATGTAGATGGAAACTGAAAACCCAGTTGACGTATAAACAAAGACTTCTATATATCCTAGTCTAATCTCAACCACACAAGTATTGGTGTTTGCTTTTGGTCTCGGCTTTTGGTAGTTGTTCTATCAATCGTTGTCATACCAGCCTAATTATTCCGTTTAGGAATATAAAACCACAAAATGGTCCAAATGACATGGGACCAGCCGAATAGGGTGGTGGGTGTATAGGGCATTTAACTTGAAAATTCATCGTGGTCATCTATGGAGACCTTATTTAATAACCCACAATTAGATATAATGCACATCAAAAAGAAAAAAAAGAGTTAACGTGTTTGATAAGAAACATTAGAACTTGCAATTTATGTAAATCCATTTACATTTGAATGTATAAATTAACACGGAACAATGCAAAACCAAGGAAGGTACATATGTCAGGCTCAAGTCACTCAAAATAGAGCTACACAAAAATTTACATGCTTCCCATCTGTTCTGTTAGACCCGAGTCCCTATTACTAACAAACAGCTTTGTTACTTCCATTCCATGAGGATGCTACCATATGTAGCTTCGAAAATGAGAAAGATATGACTACAAAATTTATTATCACATACATTACATGTAACATTTGTTACAACTTACATGTCTATTACTAACAGACAGCTTTGTTACTTCCATTTCCATGAGGATGCTACCCATTGTAGCTTCGAAAATGAGAAAGATATGACTACAAAATTTATTATCACATACATTGCATGTAATATTTGTTACAACTTACATGTTAGAAGAGTTGTATAAGTCGCATCAAAATGACGATGCCAGTATAGCCCACATAGGAATAAGCTTCCCTTAGACTTTTCCCTGGTATTGGAAATTGAGTTCGTAATCATGTTTCAAGGTGGCCAGAGTGTTTCTGCAAGGACCCTCTGCACAAACAAGAAGAAAATGTGAGACCGAGTCGAAATTCCTTCCAGCCACACCTTGTAGCCCTGACAAAAGTCAAATATTATTTACCTCCAAATAAGGTATGAAGGCGTTGAAGATCATCTGCTGAGCAAGTATCTATTAAAGCATATACACCTGGTCTTAGAGCTTCGTCTATTTCCCTGAAAATTAAACATACAATAGTTCAGCTAACCAATGCATTTCTCTCACCCCAAGATTGTCCACGCCAAGAGGTAACGCTTTTGGAGATTGTAATAGGTACTTTTTTTTAATGTATTATTACCCTCTTATTGTATAAAAATTGGAAGGTGATAGCATAATTACAAATTCAAGGTTTCCAGAAAACTTTTTAAGGGGAGAAAATGGGAAGGAGAAAGTGACTTATGAACATAGGATCTACACCAACCTCGCCCTTTTTCCATCTTAACTAAAGGCCAGCGGGAATTGATGTAAAAAAGTAATTTGGATTGTATTATTTCTAACAAATACAATTGATACACCACTGTTGTCATAATATAATTAATCTGTTATGCCTATTCGAGTTCACTAGGAAACTCATGAACACCATAACAACAAATAGTCCAAGGTACCAGAAATTACCTTTTGATGCCTGTTTTACGGGGCCCATGTCCTGAATAAACCCATATGTAATTGGATAAAAATTGGGAACAGTGCGGACCAAAGACATCTTTTTGATGTCTTATCTGCAAAATAGATATGATAAAACCAGGTGAGAAAGATCTCTTTTTTTTCTCCTTTTGGTTTTCAGCAATGGACAAGCCAAAGATTGTATGCAAATAATGTATCAATTATCCTACAAATACGTTTTCTAAATGCAATGATTTTCTTTAACATGAAAGCTGATCTGGTGAGCCAAAAGGTGCCCATGCACTAAGCACCAACCCTTCATGAAATTTGAAAAGAAGCCTTAAATAACTCCCCCTCCCAAGAAGATATTTAAAACCAGCTCCTTGGCCAAGAGAAAAAAATAAACATGAAGTACATATATATATATATATATACACACAATATGTTCTCTATGGTAACTGGGTTCGGGTGAGCTCTATCATTGTCATAGGAATACATTTATATATCATACATATCATGCTGAAACTTGATTGTTTAAGCAGGAGAAATAGTTGGGGGCCTTTGGTCCTACCAGTAAAAAAAAAGGCAGTATTGACTTATGCTACAGAAAATTAAAATATAAGACTTTGGATATAATGGAAGATACCCAAAATCTAAGATAATAATGATATTTTAACGAGGCATATTTACGAAAAGTCACCTACCTCTTCATAAATTCTTCGGAGACAACCTGCACACTTGACTCCCTCTTCCACTTCCCATGAAAAGAAACCTTTCCTGACGGCTGCATTAGCATCCACTGTCTCCAAACAATGAAGAAGAACACCAACAGAAGCTTGAAGTATGGCAATGCACCGTTCACATTCACTAGAATTATGAAAAAAAGAAGTTGCAATCATATGTGGAGTCTACTTAATGAGGAAGGAAAGCTGAAAAATGAAAAATAACTTCAGAGGAATGTAAGCATCTGAAGCCTTTTCAATCAATTTCGTAAAAACTGAATATAAAAAGATTAAACCTCCTCTTCATACCATATCTATACCTTTTTACTGTTATGTTTTCAACTTTGGCCCAAGGTTAAGTGCACACTACAAATCTTTTCTTCTTTTTTTCCGTTGAAACACCTTACAAATACTTATTATGAGGATTTTCATACAAAAAGAATACACTTACGTTTTGTGATGCTTCAGAACATTATGCAATAACCGGCAGCAAGCAGCAAATAGGTCGATTGAGTATTTCCTATCTACGCCAGAGAAATGTTTACTTGCTACTGAATTAGAGATTTGGTTATTTGGAACTGTTGAAGAATCATTGGGAACAGGAGCTTCAGAAAGTTTTAAAAGATGGAAGTCTTGAAAAAGTGCTGACGGTATACGTAAAGATTGTGCCACATGCCAGGCCTCCATTTGGTACAGAGCATGCTTGCCAGAAATTCTTGCCAGTACGTCAACACACATAAGAATGATTGTTCCTGGATCTGGATCAGTATCCCCTTTATTCTGGATCGATCTCTCATAAAATATTACTGGACTCTGCAAGTTTAGAATAACATTGAACAAGCTAGAAATGAAGCTCTGAATGTGTCTTTTAACCACATTCAAACGTTTGCGTCCTGAAAGGCAAATAAATGGTCAGAAAAGCAAGTTCTAACAAACTTCAATCATATGCACTTGAATCCATGTAATAGCTGAAGTGGATAATAATACTTTATAAGACAAGTAGGATAACATCGATAAATATGTGAAAAAATTCCTAAAAACATACAGTATGCATGCAGTAGCTGAACCTTTTGAGAGAAGAATCTTCCTATTGCTCAAAAGAAAAAAGTTTCTAAATGCTGGTGAAGTTTTCAATCACTATAGACACCATCAAGAATGCAGTAGAACCATTTCATCCAAAATTATCAAAATATTACCTGAAACATGTTCTAGAATCAAATCCAAGCAATCAATGCCAGCTGCAACAACTGAAGAAACTTTTCCCCCATCTACGCTTCCAGTATGTATGTCATAACTCATGGTGCACCCATCCCGCACACCAACCAGTGCTCTCTCTATAGCTTGTACAGCAGATAAAAGATGCAACTCTGATGGTTTCTTTATAAACACCGTGAACGATGACCTCAACCTAGCTTTAAGTTCATCCAATAAGTATGGCCGGCCAGACAGAGATGCTTCAGAAAATTCCATAGGAGAATGGAGCATTTTGCTGCTTGACTCTGTCTCATGAGATACTAGGGTGGCTCGTTTCCCCTGTAAAGTTATGCATTTTCCTAAAGCCCTTAACTGTAGCTGAACCATCTTGTCATACAAACTTCTGGATAAGGTAGGATTAGTCAGAGGAAAACGATTCGCTATTTCTTCCAAATACTTCAGAACACCATCTAAACACACAAAATAAGAAAAGCATGGCACATGATTCATGTACGTTGATTCCAATAACAAGACTTGTGTAATGCCAGTAAGAGTATGCGCCAAGCTTGAAGACAGGGGAGGACTATTCATATGCAAACTTAGCCTCAAAATAGCTGAAGATGCAATTAACAACTGCCTGAGCAAAAATGCTGCGTCAGGGTAATCACCATTTAGCAGGCGTCTCAACAAAGGCCTATTCAAAGACTGCAATATAAATGAATCAACATCATTCAGTGCACTGGCAACACAATTTGCACCTTCCACGTGCAACCTTCTTCTATGAACACTACCAGACCCAGAGTAATCATGGATGTCAGATGATGCTGTCATTGCAGCACCAGATTCATCATGCAGTTCAACACGTGCAATATCAGTCTCAACATCAGTGCCTTCAGGCACACCCAACAAATCTACATTTAAGTCTGACTTTTGAAGATTTTGAGCGTCACATAAAGTTCTGGACTGTTGACTACTGTCACAAACTAACATTGGTAAGAGCAGACTACAGAATTCTGCAAAAACATCTATACAGAGGTGAAGTTCAGAGATGGGTTCAAGTTTCTGCCTTGATGAGTTTACTTTATGATCACTACTTCTCGAATCTGTATGGTTCACAAAACATGCTAGGCCCCATAAAAACCCACTAATGCAAGAAATTAAGGATGAGAACTTGTTCAAATTTAAACCATCAACACCAATCCCCACTTTTCCATTTCCAAGGGCATCCTTCAAATTTACCAGTAAGCTTTGCATCTGTTCCTTCAAACTCTTAGCAATAATGGTTACACTTTTCCAAGCTTCAATATAGTCAGAAGAATCCAAGCACGTATCAGATTCACTTAAACTACTATGTTCATGGACAAGTCCAGCATTCAGTTCAGCAACTTTAGAGAAATGAACAGCATGATTAGACTGATATTTACTTAATGTGAGAAACACATAAAATGTGTGATCCATCAAGGACAAGATCATATCACTAACT